TGCCTGTTTGTGAAGTGTACTGGGTCAGATGTAACTGTCAGTAAAATATTGTCACACTAAGGTCTGGAAGACATGAGTCCACTTTACCACTGTGTTCAAGTCAGTGCTTGCACCAAATACACAGGAATTCCTTGGAATCTTTAAGGCGTCCTGTGCCCATGAAACAAAGATACATGTAACTGAAACTAGTTATACTAACATACCAAAAAGCTAACATTTTTTATGTTCTTTCATATAACTTTCTTTTTAAAAGAGACCTAACTGAAAATTAAAATTGTGCTAACACTCGTTAGCCGTATGTTTAATGCATGTAGCTTGTTTAACGTGAAAAAACTTTACATGTGGTATTCAGTCTGCAGGATCTGGTTAATCCTTGGTTTCCAGAAAAGGCAATATTTTCACATTTTCACCCAGACAATGTGCATATTTATAAAGTTGGTTGTCACTTTGACCTCTTTCAATTTAAGCTAATACTCAAATTGCTTAAGTTCCTTTCTGCTGCATGCACATGTCTCTGTCAGGCCAATTTTTGTACTCCCTCTAAAAGAACTATTACAACTAATGGAACTTTTTGGTATTTGCAACAATCGTCAGTCTTGTGCTAAAAGCTTTCCAAGGCTCTGACAAAAGTATAATTATATAATTTGCACAGTACAACATTTTCCTATCATTTTTGTTGCTGTACAAAATTGTCCTGATGCTCTTTCGGCGACCTATTAGAAAGCATTTACTTATTAGTATAATACAATAATATTGCTCACTAAAAAAGTCTGGTTCCTACAGTAAATAAAGATCAGACACGGTGATGGATTAGTTTGCATTTATTAATCATTTGTAACGCCGTGTAATAAGTTCTAATTTTAATTGAAGTTGAACTGCAGCCAGCACAAGATAATTTGTTTTCCCATCACCAAATGGTTTCAGATTTGCATGTTTGAAAGGAAATGACATATGGTGGAAAACTATAATTCATTTGGCAGAAGAACTGATACCAAGCCACCAGAAAGGAAATGAATTCCACTCTCTGGCTTCACACACCAGCAGCATTATACACAAAAATAAATAATAAACAGCAACTGTATGCAAGAAAATTCAGTTTTGCTGTAGTGAAAACCAAGCGCTAAATCAAGAACGCTTTCTTATCTGATGGCGGTGGGAGACTGTAGGGTTGTACTACAGGAGTGAAGGAGATCTCATTTGATGTGTACCAGTGTATTGTGCATGTGTTGAGGCAGAAAGAGGTCAATGTCAAATGGTAAACATTCTTAGCATATGCATCATAAACATATAGTGTATATACAGTATAGGCACCATTGTCTGCATAATAACAAAGTAGAATTCGTAGCCACTACCATGAATAGTTGATTATTTGTAATGTAACGCTCCACTCTTCAAGTGAGGATTAGCTTCAACAGCACAGCTCAGATTAGCACAGTGTGCTATCAATTAACCTCTTCACGGTGAATGCTATTCCCGGTATGAGTGTTTGTTCATTTGTAGCAATAAATAACATATTGGTCGCTTACATCATTGGTAAATATTAAATCATCATAGTTCACATATATGCTGATTGATATTTATACATTTGCTAAATGTGGTTGCATATTTTATTGCTTGACAGTTTGGGCTAAAATTCAGCTATTGCTATGATAGTGATATATTTGGCAGAGCTGACACAACTTTAAGACTTATTAAACTACTTGTTAGCGTTCTTGTTTTATTGATTCAAAAATGGACTGTCTTGTATAATCAAGGTTATAATTAAAAATCCATTTCTAAAAGAGCAATGTTAGTTGTGTGTATTTTGAGCATTCACTCATCCGTGACCCTGGGGAAGAGAGCTCCAAAGTCAATGGCAGACGCACAACCTTTTTATTCTGTTATATAGGGCAACATCACGTGTTGCTGAAGTTGAAGGAACTAGGCTTCGATGAAGAAGGTCACAACATTTGGTGAATCTAGGAGGTGTTGATGGTTAACGTGTGTTTCTCGTGAACATAAATATTAGATACTGTTTTTTTGTACCGAAAACCAAAAATAAATGTAACCCTTGACCAACCTTTAAAACAAATACAGATGTATATACAGTATATAGTACTTCTTTAGAAGAAAAAGAATACTGTTTGTAATTTCACTGTCTAAAAATAACAGTTTCCACCTGCCTCCTCAAAGTACGACTCTGACAAACAGATCTGACTGAGTGTGTGTCAGGGGAGGATCGACTACATGTTCAGACTCCACTTACACCATAATCATTTACAGTGAAACAGTAAACGACACCAGGTTGTGTCAGATGACAGAGTTGTCTGTTTGAATCCTCAGCTCAGTGTGACATGCTGAGAATGTGAGCATATTATCCAAAGAAATAAAGGATTCAAATACTGCAGTTAACGTGAGAACACATCTCCTTGTTCTATACAGGTTTTGGAACACCTGCAGCCAGTTATTGTAATTTACCATTGTATATGTATGGGGTCCGCAACAGGGAACGGTAAGAGTCCACCAGACATCTGGTTTGTGTTACAGTACCATTCCCTTCACTCTGAAACCATAACGACACTGTATAATAATAATTATGACCAAAACAAATGAAGAAATGACTCTGATTAAAGCAGTGGAATTAGTCTGTAATTAAAGTGTACAGCCCCAATAACAAAAAGTGAAAGGATAATGACGGTAAATAAATCATGTGAGCAGCTAGCATCCAGAAATATGAACACAGTCCAATGCAAACACACTGCAAACAAGTGTGAGAAAAAGGCTGTTGGCTTAACCACATTACCAATGAGTCTCTAATGATTTTAATCCAAGCTATTACACACGTGGACAAAATTGTTGGTACCCCTCAGTTAAAGAAGGGAAAACCCACAATTCTCACTGAAATCACTTGAAACTTACAAAAGTAACAATAAATAAAAAATTATTGAAAATTAAAAAATTAATCAAAATCAGCCATCACTTTTGAATTGTTGATTAACATAATTATTTAAAAAAACAAACTAATGAAACAGGCCTGGACAAAAATGATGGTACCTCTATAAAAGATTGAAAACTATTTGACCAGAGTGACATGATTAACTCAGGTGTGTCCTTCAATTGACATCACAGGTGTTTCCAAACTCATAATCAGTCAGTCTGCCTATTTAAAGGTAGACAAGTAGTCACTCTGCTGTTTGGTGAAAAGGTGTGTACCACACTGAACATGGACAACAGAAAGCGAAGGAGAGAATTGTCCCAGGACATACGAAAAAAAATTATAGACAAACATCTTAAAGGTAAAGGCTATAAGACCATCTCTAAACAGCTTGAAGTTCCTGTGACAACAGTGCCTCATATTATTCAGAAGTTCAAGACCCATGGGACAGTAGCCAACCTCCCTGGACGTGGCCGCAAGAGGAAAATTGATGACAAATTGAAGAGACGGATCGTTCGAATTGTATCCAAAGAGCCCAGAACAACCTCCAAAGAAATTAAAGGTGAACTCCAAGGCCAAGGTACATCAGTGTCAGATCGCACCATTCGTCGTTGTTTGAGCCAAAGTGGACTTCATGGGAGACGACCAAGGAGGACACCACTGCTGAAAAAAAATCATAAAAAAGCGAGACTGGAATTTGCAAAAATGCATGTTGACAAGCCACAAAGCTTCTGGGAGGATGTCCTTTGGACAGATGAGACCAAACTGGAGCTTTTTGGTAAGGCACATCAACTCTATGTTCATAGACTCAAAAACCAAGCATACGAAGAAAAGAACACTGTCCCTACGGTGAAACATGGAGGAGGCTCAGGAATGTTTTGGGGCTGTTTTGCTGCATCTGGCACAGGGTGTCTTGAATGTGTGCAAGGTAAAATGAAATCTGAAGACTATCAAGGCATTCTGGAGAGAAATGTGCTGCCTAGTGTCAGAAAGCTTGGTCTCAGTCGCAGGTCATGGGTCTTCCAACAGGACAACGATCCAAAACACACAGCCAAAAACACCCAAGAATGGCTGAGAGAAAAGCGTTGGACTATTCTAAAGTGGCCTTCCATGAGCCCAGATCTGAATCCCATTGAACATCTGTGGAAGGAGCTGAAACATGCCATTTGGAGAAGACACCCATCAAACCTGAGACAACTGGAGCAGTTTGCTCATGAGGAGTGGGCCAAAATACCTGTTGACAGCTGCAGAATGCTCATTGACAAATACAGAAATCGTTTAATTGCAGTGATTGCCTCAAAAGGTTGTGCAACAAAATATTAAGTTATGGGTACCATCAATTTTGTCCAGCCCTATTTCATTAGTTTGGTTTTTTAAATAATTATGTTAATCAACAATTCAAAAGTGGTGGCTGATTTTGATTATTTAATTTTCAATAAATTTTTATTTATTGTTACTTTTGTAAGTTTCAAGTGATTTCAGTGAGAATTGTGGGTTTTCCCTTCTTTAACTGAGGGGTACCAACAATTTTGTCCACGTGTGTATATATATATATATTTTTTTTTTTCTTCAATCGTATTTATTCTCCTACACTTGAGTTATCATATCAACACTTTATTCTCATAGATTACAATTTAAACACAACATTATGCCTATGGTCTCAAAACTAACGACATTATCCACTTCTACTTCATCATATATAATATGGCATTGGTATAAACTTGGCATCTTTTCTCAAAATATTATACATATATTATATATAAGACGTTTATTCTCATAAATTTACTATTTTATCATAACAGCGGGGTTAATTTTCATAAACTTTCTACTTTTTTCTTGTAATACTACTGTCCGTTTTCGACTTTATGTTCACAAAAATACTTTATGTCAAACGTACATTGTTTTGTAGTTTGTTTGTTTGTTTGTTTTTTGGTCCTAATGCCCGCTCACCTTTGACAGAGAGAGTACTTCTATGACTGATGGTAAAATAATTACAAATACAGAGCGCCACAACAGTTGTAATTAAACTCAGTTATCATTTGCCAACCTGTCACATGGACTTAAATGCTGTGTTTTGATAGGAGTGGCTTAGTGTGTTTGGGGAGGGGCTGATTTGTTCACACATTGTGCTTTTTCATCAGCAGGACAGTGAGGCAGGCAGAGCTGAAGGTTGACTGACGGTAACACTGCGTTCACCACATCACCTTCATTAACTGCACCATCCGTCAACCGCTGCTTTGGCTTGTTTGGCCAAATCCTACAAACCTTGCGCGTCTTTTTTCGGGGCAGATGGGTCGGTGTGGCCAAGTTTACTTCACCAACTAGTTGTCTAAGTTTGGACTAATGAACTTGTGACAGATTACTGCGAAGGATCCAGATGCGTAAAACTGCGTACGGGTGCTGTTTGGCTTTTTTACGCACGGACCCCAATCATCTACACTTGATCAGAGTTTGATTTTTTTTAAATTCTCTGCATCCAAAGAAAGGAAAAAGGAGGAGGACCCACGCTCCATCGCCGGTCTCGTGCCTTCTTTGTACACAGCAGCAGCTGCATGTAAATGCATGGGGCACACGGCGTCTGCTGCTCCCTGAGCCACAGTCCTGCCTACATGTGGGCTCCCTCGGAGGTGAAAGTATCGATCCAGGTGTAGAAGAGGAATATCAAAAGTTCACCTGCACACACGGCTCTAGTTTACCCTGCTGAAGAGTCCGTCTCTGCGCGTCACCTCTCTCTCTCCCCCTCCTCTCTCTCTGTGTTTGCGCTTGGATTGTAAACGCCTGAAAACAAATTGAGCTCCGTGCAGCGCTGCGCGGCCACCACACACTCTCCCAACACACTCCACACCATGGATGTACGGTTTTACCCGACCGCCGGTGGAAACCCTATCCCCGGAGATCCACCTAACATGGATTTTGCGCACTGTTTGGGTTACTACAACTTCAACAAGGTGAGCTGGAGACCGCTGTGGTTCTGCTGTGGCTTAGCTGTAGGTAACGTGAGAGCAGACAGGTGCTGGAGCTGACCCCAGCCTTTAGATGGCATACCTGTTTGGTTAATTTGTAACAAATGATTTGCGAGATTCCATAATTAGTCCCGTGTAGGTGCACTCTGTCAGTCTGACTTCAGACAACACTTTAAGGATGCTTATAAACACTCCTATCAACTGCAAGGAACTTTGTTTTTGACTAATTATTGAACTGCGTGCCACACATCATTGTGTCTGAGCAGAGACCCGTTGCTCTGTGGACACTGTAATGTGATTCCCGGTCTACTGATGCACTGTTTAATGTTCCACTACAGCACAGCAGCGGTGCTGGATCAGTGCATCAGAAGCAGCCTGCATTAAATAAACATTAAATGTGATGAATGTGTGATGCACATTATCCAGTGTAAGATAAACTCTGCTCCACTCTGATGATCCAATTTCCTCCAGCTTTAACCCGATGCCGTGAAACATTAGTTTGCTCTTTGCCATGTGGATTTCATAAGTGGATTACTTTAATTGCCTCGGCGCTCATTCACTTCAAAATCAATCTCAGTGAACACAAAGGTTGTGGTTCAACTTTATTCTGACAGTTTGATTTTTTTTTCTTTTTAATGTAGACAACTGTGAGGTCCATTAAAAGAAAAATGTGAGTTTTGCGATTTTCATCTATACAAATGGAATGGACTTAACTCCACTTGTTGTTTAGTGAGCTATAAACGTGTGCCTTTTTTAATTAGCAGCTGATCTTTGGTTTATAACTTTATCAGCGCAAACCATTGACACGCAGTGTTTCCAGTCTGTTTATTGACAGTGCGATGTTGGGTTGAGCTCTTCATCTTGGCATTAGTTAACACTTTTGACTTGTCATGCTAATCAATGCTACGCAGCTCGTGTGGTTTGCTCCAGCATTGTTTACTGATGCTATTAAAACACACGCACATGTGTTTATTTTGTTACCGTGCTGTATTTGTATTCTGTTACTAGGTGTGAGCAGTACTAACATCGCGGTACTATATGGCAAGTTAATTAAATGTGACACTGAGGTTGTGTAAAACACACTCTTGATGGTTTGTGATGTTTTGTCAGTGATGTAACACTCAAACCACAAGGCCAGTGATCCATCATCAGCTTGACTCACATTTGCTCCAGTGAGAGGAAACATCACATTGACGTTCAAAAACTCACCAACGGCAGCAGCGTGCTGCTTTAAAAAGTCTAAACAATAGTGCCCTCACCCCCCAGCACTCTAACTCCTCTTTTTTCTTGTCACACACACACACACACATTCTTATACTCACAACCCCCTTCCAAATTATTCAGCCCCTGCAATCTGATGCTGTTCAAAACACTTAACCAGGTTTCTCACTGTTTCATCAGCTCTTTGTCATGTGGCCAACTTGTCATATGTGCCCAATTTCATCATGTCTTCATCAGCCCAGAGAAATTTAACTACATTGCTTTGAATTGGTGTAAGAGTCGGAGTGCAATTTTATTCCCGCTCGTAAATTCCCTAGGTCAAGTGAAATTTTCCATCTGTAGGAGTCATTTGCCACAATGCAAAAAGAAGGCAAAGCATGAGGGGCAGTGCTGCTGAGAAGGTGCTTATCCAGTATCTGAACCAGTTATGCTGGAGAGACAGAGAGGGAGAGTGTAAAGCATGCATTTCATGCAAATGACAAAGCCCTTCCCCTTGGTGAGCAAATAGATTATTATGCATGTATCTTTCAAATAAGCATGCAGCTTATTTGAATCTAGCTGCTGCAGGACAGCACAGTGCAGAGCGGTAAGTCATCCGAAAGATGTAGCGAGACACAAGTCCCACTGAACTAGAGCCTGTTATTTATCCGTCCTTCCAGAATCCATACATCCACCACATTGAGTTTGGATTTTGAACAGAATGTAGCAGAGAATCTTTTAAAATGGAAGAATATTTTCTGACAAATATATATTCACACCCAGTCCAACGCAATCAAGTCATGTTGCATGTCCCCGCTGGTGTCAGGACTGTCACAGCAGGATGCTGTTTTTTAAAAGTACCTTGAGTTAATGTTGAACACAAAGCTGTTTTTCTCGACTAGGAAACTCACCATGGCTCCTTTATTGCCAACCTAAGGATTTCATTGACAACACTCAGTAAATGTGCTTTTGTAAATGCAGCATTTCTACTTCAGTGATGTCAGATACGAGGAAACAGCCTGACTTTTGGTTTTTCTGGGTGAGCTCTCGAGTCAATTACACAAAGGGAGTTTGGATTAGGCAGAGTTTGGTGTTTGTAAAAGTCAAATGTGATCAACTTTAATGGTTTCATGAAGGGGAGCCAGGGTTATGCCCATATTTATATGCCATCTGGTCTTACGGTTTAATAATGTTTCAGTGTCCATTTAGTGTGGGCTTTCATTAGCCCCAGTCATAGAGACTAATAACCCACAGATGTTGATACTCACATCTCACCTGCACTGTGTAAGTACATGGTTTAACGTGTACCGTGGATATATAATTATTCTCTGTAGCAGTATTTGTAGCAGCCAGGTTTACTGTAGTTATCAGGTGTGGCGTGATGTTTTGTTGTCGTGTCAATGTGTTTTATTTGTTTGGGAAAATACGGGCTGAGGAATGTATTCCAGTATCTATTAAAGGAGCGGTTCGCATGTTACTTGTGATAGATAATTTTAACTCTAACCTTAATCCTTTCCCTAGAAAAGTATTTAAGTGTGTGTGCTGCCTCTGTATGACAGGTGTGTTTAATTATGATACCGAAACTGAAAACCCAACTCCTACGGCATAGATGGCAGCAAGGCTCAGGCTATGTAAGTTTTGTGAATTTTAGTGTAAACATCAGGGTCGCTAGTAGCATTTTTGAACAGACAGGTGAAATTGAGGCAGAATTGTTTTCATCTCTACATCCATGCAGCTGCTCAACAAGAGCTTCATTTTTCTGGCCTTGTCGAGTCGCCATTGTTTTGGTCTGAACCATTTCATGTTTGTGGTGTGGTGTGTGGTCACTGCAATGACTCTGTATTTTATCATCTGCTTCACCCTGCTCTGAAAGAATGTGTGTGAGTGTGTGTAAAAACAATGATCAGGACGTTACCTGCACTGTAATAAGCAACACCATGAAGTACTGTTACTGCTGCAGTTATCAGATGATTTTATGGAGGCCGTAAAGTGTGCTGTGTGTGAGTCAAACACACTGTTAGTCCACTGGCGGTTCATGAGGTTCTTACCGACCGAGGTGTGTGCAAGACAAAAAAAAAAAAAACAACAACAAAAATGTAGGCTGTGGAGCAAGAATCTAAATGGATTTCCAACAGAAAACCTGTCCCTGTGTCCAAACTACAGTTGTCCAAGTTTCCTCTTTGTCTACTGTCCCTCCTGCTTCACTGGGAGGGAAAGGGTTAACTAACTTTCTGCTCTACCGTGGGCTTTGTGCATTCTGTCAGTGTACACAGCTGGTGCCATTTCATCACACACATTCTAAACATATCCAAACACAACTAAGTGTGTGTGCGCACGCGCCCGTGTGTGTGAGGCACCAGAGGCTGTCGACTTTGTCAAACTCAACTGTTGATGGATATTGACTCCGAAATGCATGCTAAATGTTTAACTGTCTAAGATTCTTGACTTGCTGATTCATTTTGCTGAGATTTTGAGTCAGGGCCTGTCAGAAGATGAACTTCAACAGATTTATTTAACACCTAATTTTCCCACTGAGATTAGAGAGTGTTATTTTTACCCCACCCACTCCTTGCACACACTGTAATTCGGAGTTCCTTCATCTCAGAATAATGGCCCTGTCTGAGCAGACCACACTGTACAGACTGTGTTGTACGTCTGCACGGAGCAGATGTTCATAGTTACCTAATGCACAGCTCTCCGTTTCCTGACTTAACATGGATTTCCTACAAGGTGTGACACCGGCACATGCTGGCGAAATCTGTGGAATTGTTTATAAAATCAGGCTTTTAAAGGCATGATGGTGATTAATTCTGACAGTGAGAGCCAAACAAAAGCCGTTGCTGCTTTGTCTTAAACCATAAGTCTTACAGTTTCTGATTCCTGTGGCTCCACATTATCACAGCTGTCACTCTTTAACACGTTCATTGCACTGAGATGTTGACATGTGTCACATACTGTATTCTTGTGCAGTACAGTTACTCCCTCTGAATGTGTTCCCATTCACTTGAAGTTGTATAACCAGTATATGCTGATGTGGATAAACAGTCAGAACCAGGACAGGTTTTCTTGTTTGTTTATGAGCTGCTTATAAAGGGGGGGGGGAAAGAAACCTCTGCGATCTCATACAGACATAGACCATAAACCAGATGAGTACTGGTAAAGACCGTCTACAGTCCTGCTCATAAATCTTCATTACATGATGTGGCCTTTACTCTTTGGGGCTCATTTAAAACCAGTACGTCCCAGAGACTGGGTCAAGGTTTTGCGTCACCAAATAATTCTTCAAAGTTCTTATTTTATTTATTTACTATTATATAAATTGTATTTACTTCAAAAAGGCTTTTTTGAAATATAAAGACATCAATTATTAATTTGAAATGGCTGTGCCTCAAGCTGTGGTCTGAGGACTCAGGAAAAAGTAAGTGAACAATAACATTAGGGCTTTTGCTGAAACTCTTTCAGGCCGAGCTGAAGCAGACAACCTTTCCTGGAAAAATATATTGTTATTTGGCAGTTTGAAAACCATCTCTTTTAGTGACACAGAAAAAATGAATGTATAGGAGAGACACATTAGTTATTGGATTTTGATCATGTACACAGTGTGGCTGCACCATCCATCAACCACGTAAGTGCCTGCGGAGATGTGGTCTGTTTTGTTCAAAGTCATACATTATATAGTAGAGGTGAAGTTTGTTTTCCAGAGGTTCTCAAAAATATAAATGATCCACTGGTTTGTTTGTTCATTTAAATGCGCACATTGACAATAATAGTGTACTTTTAGATGC